ATCAACTAAGTGATAAGTCAAAAATGATAATATTGAAATTATTTAACAAAATCTGGGAGGAGGGGAAATTACCAGAGTTATGGAAGGAATCTATTATTGTACCAATAGCTAAACCAGGAAAAGATCATTCAAAAACAGAAAGTTACAGGCCAATAGCATTAACTTCAAACTTATGCAAAATAATGGAAAAAATGATTAATAGTAGGTTAGTGTATTATCTAAATAAAAAGGGATATATTTCTAATTATCAAAGTGGTTTTCGGAAAGGGAGGAGTACTAATGATGCAACATTATGTCTTGAGCATGAAGTCAGAAGAGCTCAAGTAAACAAAGAAAGTGTAGTGGCTGTGTTTTTTGATATTGAGAAAGCATATGATATGATGTGGGTAGAGGGTTTATTAATTAAATTATACAAATTGGGGATCAAAGGAAAGATATATGAATGGATTAAAGACTTTTTAACAAACAGAAAATTACAGGTAAGAATAGGTGAGGTTGTTTCAGATAAATATGTAGTGGAAAATGGTACGCCACAGGGAAGTATTATTAGTCCAATATTGTTTTCTGTTATGATAAATGACATATTTGAAAATATTGGAAAGGACATGGGCTGTTCACTTTTTGCAGACGATGGAGCTATTTGGAAAAGAGGGAAGAATATAGAGTTTATAGGAAAAAAAATACAAAAGGTTATTATAGATATAGAGTTGTGGGCATTGCAATGGGGGTTTAAATTCTCAGTGGACAAAACGAAGGTAATTGTATTTAAAAAAAAACAAAACAAATAATTTTATAGAATTAAAATTATATAATCAGAAAATTGAACAGGTAAAGAGCATAAAATTCTCAGGTTTGTGGTTTGATGAGAAATTAAAGTGGAATATTCACATCCAAAAGATTGTCGATAAATGTAAGAGAAAATTGAATATATTAAGATGTTTGGCGGGTAATGATTGGGGAGCAGGGAGAAATTCCTTAAAACAGATTTATACGGGAATAATTAGATCTGATCTTGATTATGGATGCTTAGTGTACAGTTCAGCAGCTAAAACTCACTTGGATAGATTAGACAGTATTCAACATCAAGCACTAAGAATATGTACCGGAGCATTCAAAACAACACCTACAGCAGCATTAGAAGTAGAAATGGGAGAAATGCCACTAGATCTAAGGAGAACTGCATTAGGAATTAATTATTGGCTAAATTTGATGGGCAATAAATGTGGACATCCAACTCG